ATTAATGAAAAGGGGGTCTCAGTTCAGACCTGGGTACCGCTTCTCAATGTAGCATGAAATGAAATAATTTGTTTTACCTATGCTTCGACTCATTCACACAGAACAGGCCCGGATCGTATTTCGTGTTTCTGGCTTTCTCATGGTATTTGATTCGTGTTCTCATTGTGATTAAGGATGCATTTGCCCCCCGCCCCACCCCCCGGGTTTTAATTGACCCACCTGACACTCTATCACAGTAATGTCCGGCGTGACCTGACAAATGTTTTCAGATTCATAGTCCCACGAGTCTTCCTGGTCTGCTGTGGTCGTAAAAACCCGCCTTTCCCATGTTACGGATGTATATGTTTCTAATTAGTGGACACGGCGATCGCGTCGTGGTCATCTCAACTGACCCTTAGTTAGTGCAGAGATTAGCACAACCATCGTATCACCCTATGTGAACCCCAAGGATACCCCTGCCCCCCTCGGACAATCCTGACCCCCTCGCGGCAAGCTCTGACCCTTACGATTGTGCGGTTCACTGAGTTGGTGATATTCTCACTAGGAGAAGTGGACTATTGAATCCGCTGTGTCGATTAGTTTTTTAAATAGAAGTATTAATTACCTGACAGCGAGAGCAAAAAGGTGCGTGAATGGTTTTCCCATCATTTATCTTGTTAAAGGATGTGAATGGATCTGCGGATGACATTTTATACCCCTGTTCTCTCGTACCCATTGCACCGGTGGAAGGGAATAATTGGAAAACCGATTTATTCAACTCTTTTGAACATTTGAAGTTAAATAAACAACAAAACACACCTGAAACATGGTTTTTAGTGCAAAAACTGGTTATTCGCGTCTACCGCTAACAGAAATTCACGCTTTTACCAGTTATAAACTTTTTAAATTTCCCAAACGTAAAGCGTTCTGGAATTTGACGGATGTATAAATAAGCTTTTACTTTTTACTCCTCCCATCTAAACATAGAAATTGTTTCATGTTATAACTGCCAAGAACTGAGCTAAATGAAGTGTTAGCTATTCGGATTTGATGACTGGTCTCAATGGCAAGCCCTCGTTTCTGAGGGCATAACTGGAAGGAAACTATCCGCTCAATGCTCCCCCGTTGAGATAATCACAAGCGCCCTTTATTTTCCTTATTAGGAAACGCAATTTGAACTCCGATTCGTATCAAGCAGCTGATTTGCAACAATTCACGGCCATTACTCAATCATAGTTCTATTAACCCACACCTTGCAGAGTCGGACTCCAGAAGGAATCTATTATTGTCAAAGACACTTTGTGTCAATAACATGGTCCTGAATATCGTATTTGCCATTCTTTGGTGATCCTGTCACCAAAGTCGATCGGTTTCAATACACGAAGCCAGATAATGATTGATGGCTCTACCCGCCTCGACCCCGAAGACCTGATCTTGCCTGTCCACACCTGGTTTGGTGGCTCCATAGCTCCTCACAGCGACGTCACTTGTCCTCACACTGCCGGAGCTCCAAATTCCGCCTCTATCACAGAGTACTCAATGTAGAAATCATTTCCTGGGGCCTTTGTCTGAAACTAGCAGATTCAATCTGCATCAGTCTTGCAGTGCTTAAGGAGTCGTGATGGGGCTTTTCATTGTGAGAATTATTGGAAAACCGTCACGTTACTCTCGTTTATTTTAAACATTTTATTACATTTTTCCTGGTGAGGCGTCGGGGTTTACTGTGACGGAGACGGAATGGGAGAAATTACTCATTAACGCGCTGGATAATGCTTTGTCATTATGACCAGAAGGAAAAACAGTGATTTACTCCCATTCCTGACTCTACCTTGGTTGGTCGTTCAATGGGGGTGACGAAGCATACAAATCTATCATCGCTCGAGCGCGGAATGTGAAAATTTCTCATTTCTGTTTAGCCTCTCCGTCATAATCCCAGATCGCCACCGAGTCAAACGTACTTCGAGGAGTCTGATTCATCTCAAAAATAAATTAAAGGCCAATAAATAAGAAAATGAGGAGATAATTTAGTGTTCTGTAACAGAAGATAGGGCTCCTGGTCCCACTAAATCAAAGTCTTGTATTTGGGCCTTGACGTGAAGAAACAATAATATTTCAGACTTTGTCAAACGATCCATTACGACAGCCACATGTGCATTGGCTTTGATCAGTCGTTTGGAAACCGACGTTTATCGTGTTTTCAGAGTTCGCTTGCGCGAAAATTCAAATCAGTTCCATCTACGTGTGGCGTAATTTCGCCATGCCATCAATAATAGTGTGGTTTACTGATAGGATTACGAATCGGCCGACCGCTATGGGACTCTGTCAAATGTAACATCTCGAAAGGCTGAAGACAATAATTTAGAAAAATCCATGGATCGCGATGAATAACAATAACTGCAATTAGATAAAGATAGGCCTGGTCTGGTTCTCAGTTATCATTGGGGCTTTTTCTAATGCAGTGATTGAAGTAGGTGGGATTACCAATCACCGTGACTCTACCCAGACTGCCAGATGCTTTGAATATCGGTGATAAGCATGCGAGGACTTCACTTTTCGTTCGGAGTCCAATGAAGCGCTTGATTCGCCGTCCTGTCGACTTTCATGTTAGGTGTAAATTTGATTTTACAGTCATTTCTCAGGCAGAGTTGTATTTTTTTGTAGATTGAGGGTTCCGATCGTTTAATACGATTTTGATTAAATTGCATCAAATGAGGCTTCAATCAACGCACAATTGTACACATACTGGCCTTGTTGTGAAGAACACGGCTGTAAATTTACACACGTCACTTGGCACAGAACTTACTGGGTGGCACTCGGAGGGGGGTGACGGGGGTGGTAGGGTGGAGGGGCAGAGGGAAGGCTGGGATTGGAGGATTGGGAGAGGTGTTAGGATATTGTGGTGATAGGGGATGGCTGGGGTGATAGATCTGAGGATGTGGTTGTGTGATATAGGTGTGGTTGTTAGGGTGGTTGTGATATGATGTGGTTGTTAGATGGGCATGTAAGTGCAGTGGCTAGGTCGAGATGTGCTGAATATTGACTCCGTAGGATACGGATTTGATATTAAGTGGATGGTTACGGTGATGGCGGCGGCGTGGTTAATGCAGGGGTTCGATTATATGGGGTTGGATACAATGAAGTGGATCACGATAGGATGGTCACTGGCTACAATCGGGATCTGATATTACGAAACAAAATAGAATGAAATCAACCTTAGACAGGACTTGGTGTTTTTTCAAGTTGTTTCATGTTGATATGTCTTCAAACACCTTTCCTCTTTTCGTTCAGTGAAATGTGTTCCGTCAGATAATCAAGACCTATTCTCTGGCGGTGATGTTCTATGTTGGTGGACAACACTGCAGTGTGATATACATGTACATACACTTGAATAACTGCTGTCAAAGGAACCACCAGTATCAACTGATCTGTTCGAGTTTTAGGCATGTTTTAAATATGATGCAAGCATACCATAAGGGAGTATCGTTATACGTCACCCAACAGTAAAGCATGGAGAAATGATAAAATGTACAGAAATTCAGCCCAGAGATTAATATAATAATTGTTAATTTTTAACATTTTAATATTAAATGTCATCAAATGTCAAACAGAATGTATGTACACCAATACTGTATCATGGTACAATCTCGGTGACAATCCAACTCAATTGATTATCCGGTATAATCTTTGTCCCATGTTTGTTTCACAAAATAATATATTGCGAAACTACCTAAAATAAGTTTTAGAATCACAAATTAACATTACCACACACAAATATATTGACATATAAAACGAAAATATACCGATTTTCTTGCCCAAGAATAAAATGAAACATTAATATAAAACGATCGGAAACTCAAATGAAAGATTAAAATGAAACGATCGGGAACTCGAATGAAAGATTAAAATTAAAAAGATCGGGAACCTAAATGAAAGATCAAAATTAAGTGATCGGGAAACCAAAGAATGGGTGTGTTCTCGGCTAGGGAATAAAAGCTAGGCTGTGTTATTGATTCATCAGAGACATTGAGAAATGTAGATTGTCTTCAAGTGACAAAGGAGAGAATAATAGCAGAGTTGCTGGCACAGACGACGGAATCCATCTCAATCTGGTTATAGTCGATTGCTTAAATGAATAAAATCCCCTTCTGTTTCTCATAGCTGTCTCGTACAATGAAACGTATTCAGTATAACTGGATTGAATTTACAAGTTCTGTTTCTCGAGTTTAAGTCGGTGGAGGGGCTGATCGATCATTGAAGCGCTGTACAAATAAATGCATTGCAAAGAGGCGTTGATATTGGATTGTTTGTGGAACATCTAACACGGATGTCATTCAATAAAACGTATGTGGGTCTTTAAAGACTGCTTTTTGAGTTCTGTGTGACTCGGTGCATATTTATTAAGTATTAAATGCGTTATTTATTGGCCTGTGGTGCAAAAGGACTTCTCGTTGTAATAAACATCGGCGCTGGCTTCAGACGATTGATGAATTATGTATCAGTTTGGCTCAGTTCATTCGCTGTATAATCTAAAACAATGATCAAATCTCTAATTGTATTTAGGAGGGAAACAATTAACCTTCAATTGCCGCGACTGTAGTCGATATATATTGCCGAATTATTTCGCGTATCCGCTTTGTTAACTGAAGTAGACTTTGTGAAGACAAGCGGCAATGTCAAGGTCGTTTGCTTTGCCAGAGTTTAAGATGCTATTCTTTTCGTAACATTCGTGAAACACGATCTTTCTGTTCATCATCTTAAGATACGATTTTGATCATTTTGAGGAGTCTAAATGTGTCATATTTTTGTTCAGTTTGCTGTAAGTAAAATATAAACTAAAGATAACAGTTTCACAAAGAAATTTAACTATTATAACTCCGATACCTGAATTTAAAACTATTTCTTAGATCGCCGTGTCGATTTGTCCTGTCTTCAAAGATGGATGCATGAAGCTTCTGACGCGATGTCCTAATACCTTGAAGTTTCTGACGTGATGTTCTCATGTTGTTTTTGCTGTGTTGCAGCTGAGCTGAAGATGGAGCTGCTGAGAGAAAAAGAAGCTCGAGAACAGACAGAGAAGCAGCTCATGGACGAACAGAAAAACAGAGGTGAGCTGACAACTAGACTCATGATGACAACACGACTCTCTACATTGCGGAAATCTCTCCTTACTTCTCTAATCAGATATGACTTTCTTTGATGCAGAGTTTTTATGCATCCTCTGTAATAACAGATGGACGTTATTGGTACTAATTATTGGAGTATTATTATCCCCAAACCTTTCCCTTATCATACACAAGAAGGTCGGTAGGGTAGTCAAGTGGTTAAAGCGTTCGCGCGTCACGCCGAAGACCAGGGTTCGATTCCCCACATGGATACAATGTGTGAAGCCAATTTCTGGTGTCCCCCACCGTGATATTGCTGGAATATAGCTAAAAGCAACGTAAACTAAACTCACTCACTCACTCACTCACACAAAATATATTGGTAAAGTACTGACCTCTGCATAACGACCCCCAGTCACTAGTCTCGGTGATGGATATAAAAAGCTGCATTGCAGAGTTGCCTCCCTCAATTATGCGTGGATCTGCTGATGTGAACTGTAATCGAAGATTTGTATTGATCATGATCATGTATTTGTGTGTTTTATCAAGTTGTGAATGAGTAACATTTCACGTTTCTTTTATATATTGTCCAATCGGACACTCTTTAATCGTCATATGCAACGTCTCTTTTAAACCATCCTGTTTATGAGCCATCCCTTTCTTCCGTGCAGTGATCCTGCAGAAAAGGCTGAAGAAGGAGAAGAAAGCCCGGAGGAAGATTCAGGAACAGTTGGAGATTCTGGCTCAACAGGGAGGGCAGTCCGGAGTACCCCTCGACTGCAAGGCTCCAAACAGCCCGGAGTCAACCAGAAATAACGCAGGTGAGTGCTACACGTTCATTTTAACAATTATAATGAAGTCAAGCTACTGCTGCTGCAGAAGATTCTGGGCCAAGAATTCACTGACCATAAAGGGCATTTATTTTAGGCCAGTAAAACTGGAGCAGTTATGTGGCATTATGCAAAATCTTATCAAGCATAACAGCGTTTAAGTCAAAGACGCTGCATATTCCGGAAGTTGAGTCGGCTCACGCCCTCGGGGATCGGTGATTCCACTTCCGGAACAGATTTATCAGATTTCATGAACCCTCCATCTGATACTTGTAACACCCATGATCTCAACTTGTGGTACATGGTGGTTCTCTTGTAAGACTTATTGAAATAACAATGTCTGAAGCGCTGGTGACTGGAACAGCAACAACAATTATTTAGTTACACGAGTCTTTGCATTCTCTGCACCAATAGCATAGCTAAAGAAATGCTTCTTTTTCAGATTCAATCGACCAAGACTCAGACGGCGATAAACACAGCCAATGTGACTCGGGGAAGAAGACACCAGGTGAGCTAACACATTAGGATACACCGTCATAACTGTTGTAACTGCCGCTGTTTAAACCTTGAAACACACCGTGAGGATCCGGGTTAGAATTGGTCTTCAGCAACCCATGTTTGTCGTAAGAGGAGACTAATGGCATCGGGTGGTCAGGCTCTCTGACTTGGTTGATACTTGTCATCGTATCCCAATTGCGTAGACGATGCTCATGATATTGATCACTGGGTTATCTGGTCCAGACTCGATTATTTATAGTGCTGTGCGGCATAAAAAAACAAACAAACAAACCCTGAAGCCATCTTTGAATGATACATGCTAAAAATGGTTAACAGTTTTCAGATCTCTTAGAACAATCTTTGATTGATATATTTTGAAATAGTTACCATTTGTCGTCAATCTTTTTGGTTATTTTTTTTCAGATCTCTCTGACGGTCGGTCAAATCATCGAGACATCTTTGAAACCTTCCCGCCACCCCATACTCTTAGCAGCACCCGCTTTCCCTACCTCCCAATGGTACAGAATGAAGTCCAGTGATCGTCACCATAACAACATATCTAGTTGTCATAGCGACAGGCTGTCACGTGACAGTCCGCCATCTTGACTCCTCTGATACTTTCAGAGTAATGTCTCAGAACTCAAGGTCTCAGAAAACGTAGAGGTCATAGTTGACCAAGCTTCTGGGTCAGTCTGGAAGCTACCCTGTCTCTAACGGTACTAGCCTCCGGTTTAGGGACGACGACTGTAACGACAAACTAAAGACTTAGAGCACTACAGCCCGACCTAGATAGGAGGCGAGGCGGACATTGTACATATGCCTTCAAGAAGAAGAATTGGCTTCATCCTATTGTTTAGAACGTGCAGCAGGGGCCACAAGTGGCGTACTCAAGAACGGCAGATTTGATACAAGGTCAAGGCCAGGAAGGGCAGATAACTGAGCAGGCCCGCTGCACAAGTGTACGAGTTAGGTTAGAAGAGGGTTGTCCATATATGTACGACATTAGATTAGATTTCACTACACTTGAGATGTGTGCGCCCTTGGTGTGTGTGGTCTGTGTGTTGTACTTATAAAACACTGGCGGAACATTTGCCACTACTTATCATGGTTGTGACAAATACAGCTCAATCTCAATAATAACAATGATGAATGTCAAATCTTGGATCTACCACGCGTTAGATGTAATCTCAGACGTTTAGACGGAAGTGTTGCTTAATATTGGTATAAATGCGTATATTGTATGTCTGCTAGAATTGTAGGGTGCGACGACAGTACGTGGTGCGGCGCGACGAAACGGAATCAAAATGGCAACAAGTATTATTTATTCACTGGCCGTACAATAAATCACAATAGAATCAAAATTTAGAATTATTCTAGATATCCAGGATGCATTTTTTAAAAATCAAAATGAATGATATCGTGACAAGAATCAGACCACTGAAACTTACGTCACATTATGATTGCCAATACGATCATCTGTTGTATTTCATGTAATATAGGAGAAGAGATTTCGAGGCGAATATCGCCATGCTTCGCGTCGCGTCGCGCCACATTGTTCGCGCTCTCTTTGGTTACTGACATGGTTATTGTTGTGTTTTTGCAATATAATTACAAATGTTGGTTTATAAAATGCCTGTATGAATCACTGACGTTACTAAGTTGGTCAATATTTGACCATGTTCAGTACATCAAATACAATGTACGCTACGGTGCAAATTCTCAAAGGTCATCAAAAGACATGAAAACCTAAATGCTAGCTACTGATTTAACGCATCGCCGTGACTAATTTAACCAGACAGTACCAGAGAAATCATATTTCTTGTAAATGCATAATATATACTACTCAACGCCCATAGGGATAGGATAAGTTCCTACTGTTGAGACCAGTTTGGTAATGGAAATGTGTAGGAAATTATCGTGAAGCATCCTAAATGGACGTCGATAATGATGATTTCAATATTCATAGTTGAGTAAGATATACATACTGAACACAAAAAGTTAAGGAACATGATTATTTTTGGGGTGTTTTTTTAGTAAAGACTGAGCACAGAATTACTCAAATATATTCCTCATATTTATGATTCATAACTTTTTTTCGTTCATATTTGCGTACCGATTGTTAAGCCTTTAATGTAAGTCGGCTTTTGTCATGTTTTCATGTTTGACTTTGAGAAATATTTTATTACAGACTCTAGAAACGTTCTAGCTATAATATGGTGCTCTCGTTGGTTTCAACCAAATATCTAGTATCTAGTAGACGGCCAAAGATAGACACTAAAGCCAGTCAATAGCATTCTAAATTTAGCTTTAATTTTAAAATTTAAGTGGCATAATTTTAGATGGACTTTGTTTTACTAGGTGTTCAAGTTAATGACATTTGACTTTAGATTAAATGTCTCCAGCGTTCATAATGCAATGCCATTCCTAAATCTAGTCGATTTAAAACTGCCCAATGCTGTTCATCATTGAATAATTTAGTTGTGATAGATTTCATGTAACAGGCGTACGTATTACAACTCATTATCACCTTAGTCAAGGAAAGCTGAACACGAGAAAAATAAACTGTTTCTCAGACGTGTCACTAAAAAACCTACGCATGAGTACTTTTTTTAAAATTCATATTTTATATGTCTGCATGTTCAGTCCCCGTTCAGATCGTGCTGAAAAACGCTCATTTAGTTCTCAAACCACGACATCCCCCCCCCCTTTCAATCCTCTTTGTCACACCTGTCTTTACACTTTTAGAAACAGATACAATTCAAAAATTTCAAATTGTTTCTTCTATTTATCGAACCAAATACTCGTATTCTAAAATCAGTTCAAGTATTCTGAAAAAAAGTATTATAACGTTTACGACAATGTTGTCTAATGTAATCCGAACCTTATAGCTGGGCATAATAATTGTTCTTACAAGTAAAATTTTATCTAACTAGGTTTATGTATTGAAAGTTCGTTTGATCTGAGTTTCGTCAAACGTCCAGTGAAAAATATGCCAAAGTTAGGCACATTTGCTGTAGGAACAGTACGCTGATTACATGCCGCTTTCACGGTGCCCGGATGACAAAGATCGACCGAGGGAAATGCTTCACGCTTGGTTGAATACTGAGCTCCAATAATGAGATATTCCCAATAAGGGTATTGACACGAAACATTATCCGTAATGGCTACCTCTTCAACTTGTTGATTAAGGATTCATTTCTACGGATCTACTGATTGCAGCCGAAACCTATGAGTTATGGTTTATTCAATATCGAAAGCATCAATCTATATATGAAGTATTATTGTCCTTGGACTATGATCATTATATCATTTGTTTTTATAATATTTTTTCATTTTTCATAGCATTCTTGTTTCGGTCTCGTCCTGTCGTGTTCAGATTTTGATGACGTAATTTAGTGACGTCATTGCAATGGCGACACTAGATAATATAAATGTTAGTGAAAATAACTAACAACCGTGAGATTCATTTTCACCACTTCTCCACCCAAATGTGATTGATAATAACTTGTTTGAATGTGAATATTTTGATAACGTATATATTTGTATGGTGATGTGTCACCAGCGAACACTTTGTCGCCATATTTCCCCCATGTACTAATGATTTAGTTGTAGTCATTGTTATTTAGATTTTATCGAAATTGGTTGAACTTTTGCCACTGTTTGGTTATTTTCATAAATTATTCTCAATTTTTATTAGTACGTGCCATCTTTAGTGCCATGTAAATCTGTCATTTTCTGATCATTTTAATCAAATCGATAAATTTGCCCTTCTCAGAAATTCCAAACGATGGTCAGATCTTTTAAATCAATGGTTTGGTGGCAACGCTGTTGTCTGAAGACTTGGTCTCGCATAGAAATTTCCTACTGCGTATGTGTAACGGAAATGATGTCATTTTGCCCTCGGGTTAAACAGTGTATTGCTACGCGTCCTAGTGGCCTGTATATTTTGTGTCACTTTTGCAATATTTCGTGGAGACATTCCTATTTTGTCATCAATAAAAATGTAAAATATCTACAGCTTTGCCTTCTACTTTTGTGATTAGTAGTTTATCAGTTTATTGCGAAGGCCAAGGCCCATATACAGAATAAATATGTAGATATGGTACAACATGTCAGGGTGGTTTGTGACATCGGTTGCCATGGATACGATGTGTGAATCTCGTCATATATAGTTGGAGGAGTGAGTGAGTGAAACCAGCGATGGTTCTGACAAACCTTCTAATATGAACCAGAATTCGAACCCACATTCATATATTCTCGCATTGATTGGAACTTTGCAGCTTATTGCGGTGCCCCATATGCAACGTAGTGAAGTGTAAACCGGGACTTACTTTCGTAGTATATGAGAGACATTTGTATACATCTACCCGGCTTTAACATACTATTTAGGCATGGTGGGGTAGACTAGTGGTTAAATCGTTTGCTCGTCACGCCAAAGACCTGGATTCGATTCCCAACATAGATCCAAAGTCTTATTATATAATATTATCATATATTGATTTTCTATGGTGCCTGGTACCCAACTCGAAGCTGTTCAACGGCGCTTCACAAAGTTTACCCCGGATAACCCAAGCTACCTCTGAGGCGCTAGAAGGTTATAGTCAAATGACTTATGCCACCGGGTACCCATTTTGTACTGGGTGGGTGAACAGAGGCAATTTTGAACAAAGTCACTTGCCTAAGGTGAGATCACGTGTATCACATGTGCTTCGGTGTAGGGCAGGACTGGAGTCCTAGAAACTCGCAGGAGTCAAGCTGCCAAACACGGTCACCAATCCAAGGACTCTCCGCGGCCAAAGTTGCTTAACTTCACCTGATATGTGACCTGAGCTCTATGCGGCTTGGAACCATACTCACCCATACAATCACTCACTAACACTTTATTTGATTCGAAAGTAAATGTTATGACCACATACAATGTTAGGGGCGGTAGGGTAGCCTAGTGGTTAAAGCGTTGGCTCGTCACGCCGAAGACCCGGGTTCGAATCCCCACATGGGTACAATGTGTGAAGCCCATTTCAGGTGTCCCCCGCCGTGATATTGCTGAAATATTGCTAAAAGTGGCGTAAAACTAAACTAAAGTCAGTCAGACATGCAATGTTAAAGGATGATGGGTCAACTATTCATCCACTCGCATACTAAGTATTAGTCTTTCAATGGCGACGTGATGGAGCCAAAGTTGTCAGTGGCTAACGACGTTGACGCAAGCGTCTCCCTTACATGTTCCACGTGCGTTGAGTGGGTGAAAGGTCAGAGGTCATTGATGGCCATGATATTGTATGGATATTGTACTGTACTGGTCGACGTGGACATTACCGATTCGTACACGGTGAGCACAGGCGTTGTTGTCATGCTGAAAGACAATACATCGACTCAGGAGTGTCAGTATGTTGTCCTTTGCAGAACATGGAAATGTCAGAGACACCACCCCATTACATGTCAGGTTGACATTGGTTTGACGTTCATTACGACGTCACCAGACACAACCATCAAGGAAGTGCAAAGTGAATTAGGGCTCATCTGCAGACATGACACGTGACCAGCTCCGATTGCCGCAGTTACGACGTCATGCACACCGTTGACGTCTTTGGCAATATGAGTGAGTGAGTATAGTTTTACGCCGCTTTTAGCAATATTCCAGCAATATCACGGCGGGGAACACCGGAAATGGGCTTAATACACTGTACCCATGTGGGGAATCGAACCCGGGTCTTCGGCGTCACGAGCGAACGCTTTAACCACAAGGCTACCCCACCGCCCCTTTGGCAATATGACGACATGTAGGAAGCAGCACAACAAGCGACCGTGGAGCGTGAAGATGAGCAGCGTGTTGACGATTCCAAATCGTCTGTCCCACAACCAGTAGTCCAGAAGCCTGATGAAAGCAATTTAATTCATCATTTGAGCTCGATCTCGTTTCATTTCAATCAAATCTTTACCCGGGGTCGATCGTCAATATGTTTGGTTTGTTGGTACCTATACCATGGTCTGCTAATCCCAGACTGTGGAACATCGAACCTATTGAACATTGTAGGCTACTGGCAGTTTCCAGCACGCCCATATCCCGCTGACGCTCCGCACGTTGCCGACGTCGCTTTGCCACAAAACCATAGGATGAAATCAAGTAAATCACAATTTTATGCTACACAGTATCAATACGATTGACAGAAATAATGGTCAACAAAGATCCTGTCTTGTATCACAATGAGGTATGGCACTGGAAGCACGTGTATGGCGTTACTGATTGGGACACGTGCAAACTATCGGATGTGTTTTGATGTTTTACATTCTTGCGTGGGATGTTTGTTGTAAACGCCTTTCTTTGTTCTAATGCTTGGAACTGGCTCCCATATTTCCTGATTCCGTGCTATTTTAAGGAGAATACTGTTTACATATATGTGTGTGCGCGTACGTGTGTATGAAGACGGCCTTGGCGAGACAATGACAGCAATATTCCAGCAATATGGGAGCCGTTTGTAATTCATCGAGTCTGAACCGGACAATCCAGTGATCAACAGCATGAGCACCGACTACGCAATTGGGATACTATGAAGTGTCTACCACGACAGGCAGCCTGACCACCCGATCGCGCTAGTCGCCTCCTACAACAAGATGGATCTTAACATGTTTGTAATTGATGTTACCAATGACACGAACTGTGTGTAATATAGCGTTCCTCTGCCAGTTGAGAATCAGACGAAGGAAACCTTGCAGAATTTGGTCGGTGTAGCGACCTACTGTCAGCTTTACTTGAACTCCTGTGTATAGGACATGGCTCCACACACCAAAGCAGTTCCGCCATCGAATTTGTCGACCTGCCGAAAGTAGTTCGCTGCAAAACATCCATCATCGGTAGGCACACTGACTTCCATCTTGGTGTTGGAAAAGAAATCGAGATTCATCACTGAACTGGGATTGCTGCCAGTTTTGCCATGAAATTTGCCTTAGTCTATGCCTGTACGCCTGTATGCCCTCACAAACGTGAATCTAACGTCTCAGTTCAGGGAAAATACCAGTCTTTTGGGTCTCCACCTCTCGCACACGCCTCCTGAATGTTTGATCTGACACCCTCCTCAAGCCAGGCACATGTCCTACAGTCTCAATGGCAGTAGCAGGCCGATGACGAAGATGAAAGACCCGGTTGTAATCTTGTGAAAAGGGGGTGACCCTTGGTCTACCACTTCTCGGACGATCTTGGGTCAAACGAGATATGGTGTCCTGGTTTTCGTTGCAATAACCTTCAAACTGCAGTGTCGGACTCTCCAGCTTGAAGACGTCCTATGGCGACGTTGCGATTGCCAGCATTCGGCCTCGGCATTTTCCCAAAGTTGACCAACGTTTGACCTTTTGATAGTCAGACAGACACGTGACATCACGACGGGGGGACAATATCCACGTGCATTGTCCTTCCTATGACAATTTCGTGCAGCCATATAGAAAGGGCTACACTATGTGGCATCATTCAGTCAAACAGACACATTGCATCTGTTTTGAATATTTCATAAATAAACAAAACCAATATTATCTCATATTTCTTTGGTCTTTGAAGAGTCTACTACTTGTGTATGGTTCATCAAGAATCGTTGGCATTGTTGTCGGCTCTCGGCATCCCACGTGACCTGACTAGTTTCCTATTTTCACCACCACTATTTATCAGTTGCATGTGTACCAAATAATTTGGCTTACAAATATACATGACCTAATTGAGAATAGTGAGTTATTTTACATGCTCCAAGAAAAGACGTAACCAAGACTTTAGTGTATGCCATTGAAGATGCATGGTCAGGTTGGCAAGTGCCGAAGACAGGTCAGGGAGGCCGTTGTTACCTGCACTGAAGGAAAACCATTTCATATGGGAAACGTCTCCCTGCATGTCTGAAGAAATTATAATAATATTAATACCTGAGCGCTTAGTTGACGTGGTGGTCATCTTATCTTGAGTTCTATTTGAAGGGACAGATTATGACTTCATTTTTACCCATTTTTTTATTAAAAGAGGAATGTTACAGGGCGATGCTTTTAGTCCTTTGCTTTTCTGTTTGTCACTCAATCCTTTAGGCTTTTTGTTTAACAAAGGGAGGCTATCACCCTTGACCTCCTCAGCACAGATGTCCAACACCTTCTACTCAACTCTTCACATGGATGACCTGGAGCCTATTGCCAAGGGAGAATCAACACTGGAAAAATAGATTTTCCTTGTCGAGTCCTCTATAGCAGCATTGGTATGTCATTCTAACTCGACAAATGTAACATTCTTTATCTGACACGTGGCAAGGTAGAAGAGACGGGTTCGGTCAGTTTACCAGGGAAGGAGTTGTTGACCATTTTGTGGAAGGTTAGGGATACAAGACAAACTCCTGAAAGCCCATATAAAGGACAAATACAAGAATACAAATGTAGAATCAAACAAACTGGAGCTCAGAACTAAATCCTCGCAGTAGAGTCAAAGCCACAAGTACTTATCTTGTGCCCGTCCTTGCATATTGGTCTGGTGTTGTTGATTGGACAAAACAACAAATCCAGAGTATTATCACCGTCACAAGAAGAACCGCGTCAGACAATAGAGCCAACCATCCTAGCTCTTACCTCAACCGTCTATATTAGACAATTTTAAGCTGAGGGTGTGGATGGATTAGCGTGGAAGCTCTTCATGACAGAATTATCTATTTATTTAATTTATACATTTATTTATTTATTTATTTTTATTTTATTTATTTATTTATTTATTTATTTATTTATTTATTTATTTATTTATTTATTTATTTATTTATTATTTATTTATTTATTTATTTATTTATTTATTTATTTATTTATTTATTTATTTATTTATTGATTTATTTATTTATTTATTTATTTATTTATTTATTTATTTATTTATTTATTTATTTATGTAATTGTTTTCTGATGATCCTCTTGTGACACTCTTGATGACCTACAAGCCGTCCCTCTATTACTTAAAAGATCCTTAATGTTGAGTTTGTTGAAGGTTCTGCACTGCTGGTAGGTACAGAAA